TAATTATAATTAAGTAAATTTATATTGAAAAATTAATAAATAATAATAATAATAATAATTAATAAAATTTATTATTTATAAATATTACTATATAACATTTTGTATAATTATACGTATATGGTACAAGGTAAAAAAGTATGCCTAAAAAGAAAAAAGGGGGAAATTTATATAAAGTGAGTAACGAAGGAAGGCGCTCACGACAAAGAAAAAAAATTCAAACTGTTGAGGAAAGGTCGAAACGACTTGAAGATAATGCTCAGAGACATGCTCAGAAGAGGGTAAATGAAAATGATGACGTACGGTCTCTACGACTTGAAGATGATGCTCAGAGACATGTTCATAAGAGGAGATGTGGAAATGATGACGCACGGTCTCAACGACTTGAAGACGATGCACAGAGACATGCTCAGAGAAGGCACCAATGCAGACAATTAAATCGACATATTGCGCTAATTGCCAAGGGCAATGAATTGAATGTGCCTATTCATACACTTGGGCAAATGAATGTCGAATGCCAATTTTGCAAATCGTTAAATTTTAAATGTGAAGAGTCTAAAGATGGAAAATTCACATATTGTTGCCAAAAGGGCAAGCTTGAATTAAATCAGATAAATTGTCCGGATTTTCTGAAATTAAATCAGATAAATTGTCCTGATTTTCTGAAAAAGTTATACATTGGAAATGATTCTGCATCTGAGAATTTTCTTAAGAATATTCGTTCTTATAACAGCGCATTAGCTATGGTTTCCATGGGTGCCCCAGGAAATAGAAATCCATTGGATGTTGTGAACAATGCTCCTTATTGCTTGAAGATTCATGGGCAATATCATCATTTGACATCGACGGCAATGCGCCCAGCGGATGGACAAGCTCCGGTGTTTTGCACAGCTTTATTTTTTAGAGAAGAAGCTATAAATTATAGAATGAATAATAAAGCTAATCAAGAGTGTGATTCGGAAATAATGAAGATTTGTCATGCTTTATGGACCAATGCAATAAATTTGCCAAAACTTTCAAGATGATGCGTCAGGTTGAACAAGATCTTAATCCGAGAGGCAATGAAACCATAAATTTAATGTTGTCCTTTCGAAACGATCCTCAACATGATCAAAGAAGATACAATGCTCCAAGAGCAAATGAAATAGCTGTGGTATTTCAGAATGTAGATGGTGAGCCTCCATTTGAAAGAGACATTCGTATTGATAATAAAAATTCGAACGATGTTCAACAAATATCAATTCTGGACAAAAGGTGTGACCCAATGTGTTATCCTTTGTTATATCCATATGGTAAGGCATTCAGAACTTAAATCAGTTAATCCTAAATATCCAGGATTCAAAGTAAGTCAAATGGATTATTATGCTCACCTGCTAGCACCAAGAGTAGAATTTAGTCAGTTTAAAAAGGCAGGCAAGTTGAGATGTCAATTTATACTTGATGCATATATGAAAACTGAAGCCAATAGGCTTAATTATATTAAATTAAATCAACCT